CACACACACACACACACACACACACACACACTTCAACAGAGGCCACGCCTCCAGCAAAAATTGCTTCTCTATAGCCGAGAGTCCAGACCCTCTGTACGAAGCAAAGTGAAGGACAAGGGTCTGGTTTTTACCAGGCTAGCGTTAACCCATCATAACTGAAGGACTCCTACATGTAGAAACATTTTATGAAGAACTAACATCAGGTTACACAACTGTGCTTAGAAATTTCTCTTTCTCTCTGTATCCATGCATTACTAACTTTGTAATTTAATGTTACTTTATTGAGTTATTTCACAAATACAGCTGTATTTGAGCTGCATAACAACGTCATATATTGTATTCAGGTTGTGGTTGTGCTGTTACTAAGCTGGTCTGTTTGTCAGGTTAGCCAAGCAGGGAACAACCTCAGCTCCTGAATCACACGTGTACACAGTGGTCAAGGAATACACGGGAGGAGTGAATACATGACAAGAGAATAAATCACCCTAACAGACCAAACCTTCTGCTCAAACACGCTGTCTGGGTTTAGCTCAAACACCCCAATGTCATTCACCCAAAGGTGCAGGCGGGGTGGTCACACTGGACACACAGTACACTCATGTTTTCTAAAGACACGTTTGAGCATGTTTTTGAACAGATGAGCCCCTTAGGTGTTGAAATACTTGGTTTTCAGGAGTCTGAGATTCATCTTTTCAGTTTTTTTCATGGCTGTCCTTCTCTCATGTATAGTGAAACGAGATTTTTCCACCTACCAAATCATGTTGATTTTTCTATTTGCACATGTCGGCACTGGATAAGCAAAGAAGATAGTATAAACGAATCTACAAACAGACAGAACAAAGTAATGAAAGAGAACATCATAACATCATGATTAAGCTGTTTTTGAGCTATAGTTCTTTTTTCTTTTTTCAAACAAAGTAGAAACTAAATGAAAATGTAATACCTAAGACATATTTACTCAACAGAAAAATGTTTGCTTAACATAAATGTATTTTTTTTAGCTTCTAGCTAATTTAATAATCCTAAACTCAATACAGTCAAATTAAGCACTTATATCTATTTATTCAATCTATTGTGTTGCAAAAAATAAAACAATTAGAACTTGGAAAAGTGTTGGGGTTTTTTTTCATTGTTTTACAGATCTCCATGGGTCAGATGCTGCAAGAGTTTGGAAAGTTTCTGGGCCTCTTCCTGTTGGTTTTATTCTCCTTCACCATCGGGCTCACCCAGCTGTACGGAAAAGACCACAAAGACCCTGGCAAGAAAACACCCAAGGACTGTGAGGGCATCTTCTGCCAGCAACAGAGCAACGATGCATTTCACACGTAAGGCAAACCTGTAGTTGTTGTTTTGGGGATTTATTTTGGTGTTTAACCGACTTTTTTTTCCCCAAATGAACTCCACACAGAATGATCCAAGGCCCAAACTGGGGTTCAAACCCAGGACCTTCTTGTTGTGGGGCAACAACACTAGGTGTTAGCTTTCTTTGACTTATTTACCTGCAATGCAATGCCTGCAAAGCTCCTTTTTTGGTTAGTGATCAACCTTGTATGGAACTAACAACACAATTATAGTTAAAATGTTACTATGGTATATTTGTGCAAAAACAAAACAAAAACAAAGTACTGGTTGAAAAAATTCTGACATAATGAAGAAATTGCTAATTGTTAAAGACTGGATTTTTGAAGAAGTATGACATAGCATAAAGTGAGCTCATATTAACGTTATTATATTGACATAGACGACTGACATTGTTTTTTTTTTTTTTTTAAAAAAAAAAAAAAAAAAAAAAAAAAAAAAAAAAAAAAAATTGCAAGTCTGTTCTTTTATGGTCTTGTGGATAAAACTCAGGTTGTGAAATGAGCTCTGCAAAGTTTTTAGTGTTTGCTACAAAATATCTATGTTTTGAGGTTATATCATCACATTCATGTGCCAGATGATTATGCAACAATCCAGCTGGTGTATTTCTAAACATTTTTTTTCTGTGCTACAGGTTTATGGGAACCTGCTACGCTCTGTTCTGGTACATTTTCTCCCTGGCGCATGTTGCACTCTTCGTCACCCGAATCAGCTACACACAGGAGCTGCGCTCTTTTGTCGGTGCCATGATCATAGGCACATATAACATAGTGGTGGTTATTGTGCTGACCAAGCTGCTGGTGGCCATGCTCCATAAAAGCTTCAGACAAATTGCTGTAAGTTTGCACAATATTTGGCTCAGCGGTGTGTATCGCTGGTGATTAGGAGCAATTTGTTTTGGAGCGAAAACAGCAAATGCTTTCTTGTCTTGTTAGGATTTAGTTTTGCTTTAAGTCATCGTGAAATGTTTTACAGATGTTAAATGGTTTATTTGGAACCACTTTGGTTATTTTTTGCTCACTTTGAACAACTGATTTTGATTAAAGTTGTCTTTTGTTATTTTATACCTTGTGCAGAATCATGAGGATAAGGAGTGGAAGTTTGCTCGCGCCAAACTTTGGCTCAGCTACTTTGATGACAAGTGCACTCTGCCTCCACCTCTTAATATCCTCCCTTCACCAAAAACCGTCTGCTACTTGGTGACCAGCTTAAGGAAGTGGATCTGTTCACATACAACAAAGGGCAAGGTGAAGAGACAAAACAGCCTTAAGGTGAGAGGAATAAACTCCCAAACATGTAATAGCACAGTGATTATACGCGAAGTTATTACAAACTGTAACTCTGATTATAGACTTTATCTTAAACATGTGAGTTTCTGTGATTGATGCCAAGTTTGAAGTCTGAATTCATTTTACTGCTGTTCTGACGCAGGAATGGAAGAACCTGAAGCAGAAGCGAGATGAGAACTACCAGAAGATCATGTGTTGTCTGGTTCACCGCTACCTGACCTCCACGCGGCAGAAGATGCAGAGCACAGACCAAGCCACGGTGGAAAACCTGAACGACCTGCGCCAAGACCTCTCCAAGTTTCGCAACGAGATGCGGGACCTGCTGGGCTTCCGGACATCTAAATACGCCATGTTCTACCCGAGGAGCTAAGATAAAAATAAAAAAAAGACTACTTCCCTTTCTACTCTCCCTATGAAATTTCTGCTTCATGTTTATCTGGGACGCTGTGTGGCATGTGCAAAAACTTCTAATAGGTCACAGGCGTAATTTTAATACTTGGAACTTTGTTAGTGAAACATGTATTCACCACCAAAGTCTCCAGACTCAGGCCTACTATCTGTTATTCAGCTACAATATTTACCCTGGTTTTGTAAATAAAGAAAGCCATTCTTTTCAACAGGAAAATTAATAAAAGATTTATGGAAAATTGTGGCTTTCTTGGGATTTAAGTATAGAAAAAGCTGAGGCAATTTGCTGTTAACATTTTGTGGAAGGTTTTTGTCCACAGCAGGTCCCAACTCCAGAAAACAGCCAAAGAGACATATTACACACACCTGAACTATTTTCTTTCTTAACGGAGTCTTAGCTGCCCCTGACAGACCCCTTCTTTTTTTCCCATTTTATAGGTGACACATTTTAGACATGGATACAAAGTTAACATATTAAATCTTTATTTGGTTAGATAAAAACAACAAATTATAAATAATATATATACTTTTTTGTACATGAAAATAGATTTTTTTTGCTTGCTTTTAGAACCGTGACTGTCAGTTTGTGACATATGTTGATGGTGCTTTGCAAACAGCACACAGAATATTGCTTCAATGGAAACATAAACACAATAAATATTGCACTTTTATCACCACGTTTGCTAAAGTTCAACCCCTGCCCAGTAAAACTGAACACATGAATTTGTTAATACGCAGTCATTGAACTACTGTAGATGTTAACATTCAAGACAGAAATAGACCTTTAAAGCATAAATCCCTTATTCACATTATGTTCTGCTGCTTTGAAGGTAAACACTGAAGGGCAAAGTATGGAATCATTTTAGGGCAAACATGCCATTATGGGGTGTCAAACAGATGTGCAGACAGAAAAAAAAGAGAGTAATGTTTCTCTAGTAGCTGCAATTTAAATCCCTGCTGTGAGCGTGACTGGAATGTGACGAGGCAGGGAACAATTTAAGAACAAGAGTGGAAATTCTGGCTATTTTTTCTGCTCATTAATCTCAGTCTGAAAGAAAAAAAAAGACTGGCAGGTTTAAATAAAACAGAGATGTTTCCAAACCATCATAAATACACAAATGTGACTTTGCCTGTAATTTCATAACATTGTGCACATTTTATCCTGGCAGCTCTGAATCCAAGTTGTGTTTTTGTTTTGATTTGTGGCCTGTGTTTCTGTTGTTGACAAGGAGAATTGTTTTCTACATTAATTGTTTCCATCCGCAGCCGAGCCTCGAGCAGAAACAGTTTAAAGGAGGTCCTCGGAGTTCACCGGAGCTCAGCACTGCTTGCTCTTCAGAACGTTGAGTCCTTTCTGGTTCTTTGTCTTAAAGGCCATGACGAAGTGGTGCGGGGCGATTTTCCCCCGGCCGTCCTCATCCACCTGTCCCATGAAGACGTAGTTCAAGCCTAGGGTCACACAAAAAAAACCTGAATGCAGTGGCAGACCGACAGAGACATTCAGGGAGGCCAAATATGAGAGTGTGCACATGGCAGGTATGTATGCCCTATGTTTATATGGACACACTAATTGTTTAGTTGACTGTTTGGACAGTGAGTTCTGCCGCTCACCTCATACCTCGGGTTGATCAGCTGTTCACAGCAGAAGAGGCAAACTCAGAGTCTGGTTATTCAAAACAGTCAACCAGAAGCTGCATCTTCATTTAAATAATGACTCATGGACGAAAAAAAGAACCATTTCACAAAAATCACCTCACTCACCTCTTCTGACAAATGGACACTTTTTGCAGAGGATAATGATTTTGGTGCTCATGGTTTTCCCTGCCTGCTGGATTGCCAGGTTGCCCTCCTTATAAACGTTGATGATAGAGACAGTGGCGTACATGCTTCCTCCTTTCATCACAGCAGTAATGACTGTCCCAGTGATCACTATCACAGAACCAAAAACATGATGAAGAATGACAGCTGCAAATTTATTAAAAACAAAGCCTAACATGAAGATGAGCATGGATCATTTTTGGCACTGTCACAAATTGTAGGTTTTAGCTTTTTACCAGAACAAATTCAAGATGTTTCTTTAAAGACTTTGATTAATAAAGATAGGAGAAATATTTTTTTGGGATTTATTCTTTCCCTTTTTTCAGTTGCACTGCCGCACTGTTAGCAAAGAATTACGGTAAGCATAATTTCTCTTGGAGGTGGAAAATCAGATTCAGGATCTCAATAGACTCGTAAGGAGTCAAGTTAACAGTTAAATACTTGATTTCTTCTAATTTCAGAAAAAAATAGGAAAAACATTTAAATTCATTTATTTAAATATATCAAAAATAAGACTGCACAATTTAGAATGTGTCTTTCTTAGAAAACAAGTTAATTATAACAAGAATTTATATATAATATTTGTATTTGACATTAGCCACAACATCTTGACTTGTTTTATAGTAAATACAACTTAATGGCATTTTCTTATATTTTTTTTCCACTGTAGGAAATTGGAAATATTGCCAGCTGTGTGATAAATTTAAATTCTGCACATTGTAAATTAGTAAAACTTCATGATGGGAATAGATGTTAGATGTTTACATAATGCAACTAAAGTTCTTCCCAATTAGCAATGACGCCATCATGTTAAACAAGTGATGTCAATTATCTGAAAACTGCAGGGGACATCATTGTTTAATAAAGAACATGGCTGCTCCCTGACTCGCTTTTTCTGGCTTCTAACAATGTGACTCGTGCAGGATAGAGTTACTTCCTGTTTAGTCTAACCAGGCCCTTAAAAGTACACAAACACAGTTTTATTGCTCTGACGCATTGGAAATTTAGCAACTGCAGATATTTTAGGATGGAACCATGGGTGGTTTAACGTGAAACAAGACTCTACACTGATAGCACCGATATGTCAACCTTTTTAATTCCTGGCAGAGATGAGAAAAGCCAGAGGACGATTTGTTTCTGTCATGTTTTATTTATTGCTACGGTTATACAAACCAGTGGACTGCTTCTGGCATTTCCAAGTGCTCTAAACTGGATTAAATACCAGCAGTCCCAACGTGAGTTGTTCATTAGACAGAACAGTTTTCAGACTATGTCTCACCACATCTAACGTATCATGACCTGATCCCTCCCTGCTATGCTTTTTTCCACATGTGGCGCCACATCGTTTGCTCATCAGCTACTGGTGCAAACCTGAATTTCATTGGCCAGTGTAACACGTGCAGTAAACATCTCAGAGAGGAACAAATTCAGGGAGTTGGAACAAACTGAGGCCGAGCTTGAATCAGTGCGTTTATAGTTTACCCACCGCAAATGGATGCATGAGTGTGTGCCTGTGCTCACACTGGAGGCCACTGTACCCTACTGTATACAGTAGCTCAGTTCCTCACTTGCTATCAAGGAAGTCTTTCAGATACATGAGGAAAAAATAAGAGAGACTAAGATAGTGACATGATCAGGACTGTAAACAGCTACTTAGAGGGGCGTTTTGGCTGTCAAGAGCCTCGATGATATTTACATCTGTGGTTTTGTTTAGGATTAGCATATTTGTAGCATCTGCACACAACACAAGCTGGGGTCTTATCATTGATTTGAATCTGTATGAATTGTATATACAGTATATATATAAAAAACTGATCTCACCAAAATTGCTGGAGCAGTAATTGCTCTCAAGTGTTCCTTGTCTTTTACATTTCTGCTGACACAGCACAACCGAGTACTTCAGAGCTGCAGAAACACACACACACACACACACACACACACACACACACACACAC